GGTGATGAGTAACAGTTCTGATACTTCATCACTGTGCAATGCTGTAGCTGATAGTAAAACATTTCTGACTACAACAACAAAAATATTCACAACAACAGCAACATCAACAGCAGTTGAAAATTCATCAAAAACAATAACAGCAACATTCGCGACACCAACCTCATCGCCAGTAACATCAACAACGTCACCAACTTCAACAACTGCGTCGCCAACGTCAACAACTACAACATCAGCAGCAACTACATCGACAAATGATGAGGTAGATGAGTTGAAAAAGTTATGCCTGCACTTGCAATACATCATGGATCAGCAGTTGAAGGAGAGAGAGAAACTTCAACAACATAACGAACAACTACAGCAACAATTACAACAACAACAACAACAATCCCTCCAACAACAACAACAACCTCAAAAGCAGCAGCAGCAAAAACAACATCGTAAAAATAATCAAAACCAGCATAGAAACGACTCCAACAGTTGTGTTGAGGACGGAATTTGTGCAAAAGTAACTACTCCATTGTGTCTGTTGTCGTTATTTGTTGTTGTTGTCATTGTTGTTGATGTTATTTGCGCTGTTGTTAATGCTATTGATGTAACGTTGATGTTACTTCTTTTATTTTACGCTGTTATTCATTGCTGTTCATTGGTGACAGCTGGACCAAAGTGTATGTTTTATTGTGTCAATCTGTCTGTTGCTGTTGTTCTTTTTCGTGCTTCTGTCAGACGTTGCAGTTGATGCTATTTGTTGTTGCGATTTGTGTTGTGTTTTTGTTGTTGTTGTTATGTTGTTTTTCGTGTTATTTGTGATGTTTTTGTCGTTGTAATTGTGGCTCAATGACAGTTTTTATTCATTCATTACCCACAACATCATAAACAACAACGACAACAATATTGACGTCATAAACAACAACGACAACAACAATGACGTCATAAACAACAAGAACAACAATAACAACAACAGTAATGACATAATAAACAACAACATCAACAAAGTTAACGACAGTGACGTCATAAACGACAATGACTTCAACGACATGAATGAACAAAAACAAAGCAGCACCTAACAGAGATAAAGAATTTGAGAAGAGAGCTCGAGGCCTGCAAACTGGTGAACGAGAACCTGGAGATGAAGTACAGCAAGGACGTCAGCAATGTGACCAACAACTTCCAGAGTAAGATTGACCAGGTACCACAGACGCTACAGCCGCCGCTGCTCTTGCTTCTGCTGATGATGATGATTGTGGCAATGACGATTGTGATGATGAGAATGACCTACTGATGATGATGAGGATGACCTGTTGATGATGATGGGGGTGACCTGCTGATGATGATGAGGATGACCTGCTGATGATGAGGAGGATGACCTGTTGATGATGATGGGGGTGACCTGCTGATGATGATGGGGGTGACCTGATGATGATGATGGGGGTGACCTTATGATGATGATGAGGATGACCTGCTGATGATGATGGTGACGATGATGTGATTAAAATGATGACGGAGTGATAATAATGAAAGTAGTAAATAAGTAAATAAGTAAATGATAATAATAACCTTCACCAAAAATGTCACTGGTCTTTGTTATTGTTTGTTAGTTTCTAAATGCTGTACACACACATAAGCAGCCTACCTGCATGTATATAACATTTTGAATTTATGAAATTTTGAAATATTTTTAGACATTTCGTACCTCTAGTGATAATAATAATAAAATATTTATGAATAATTAGATCGAAATAATATTATATTGTAATATTTTGTCAGCTGACAAAAAGCTATGATGAATGCAAGAAAGAGAAAGACTCGATGGTGATGAGGTATGCGCAAGCAGAAAGTAAGAACATCGAACTGCAAGAACTATGTAGGAAAGCTGAGTATAAGGTTGGCTGGTTGGTCAGTCGGTTGGATGGCTGGCTGGTCAGTTGGTCGGTCGGTTGGATGCCTGGTTGGTCAGTCGGTTGGCTGGCTGGTTGGCTGGCTGGCTGGCATTGATTATAATTATTATTATAATTATTGTCATTTTTCATAGTTGTTATAATAATAATAATTATTATTATTATTACAAAGTTGAAGGATTCGTTGAGAGAGAAGGAGATAGCAACAGCCAGGTGTGGCACCATTAACTCCGACATACACAAACTTACTAAACTACTGGAAGTTAAGGTGTCGTTCGTTTGACATTCAACTCTATCAGCTATTATACAACTGTGACCTCGTATATCTTGCCATAGTTTACACTTGGCTTCTGCTTTAATTTTTGATTTAGTCTGAACGTTTTTTGTATTTTCTTCTTTTATAATTGGCTTGTTGTATTTGCTACTTATATCACTCGATGGCATTCAAACTTGGGTGCCAAGTTAGTTGCTGAAACTTCCGCACCATACGGCAAGCGTATAAACACACACACACACACACACACACACACACATGTGTGTGTATATGTGCAACATTCATACCACACAACATACATACATACATACATACATACTTACATGCATACACACATACATACATACGTACATACATACATAACATTCATGCGTATTAACATTCTGACGGGTGCAATTATCGACATATCAAAGTGTTAACCCACTTGTTACTTGATGTTTGACTGTTCAATGTCATTCATCCTGTTTTGGTTTTAACATACATACATACACACATACATACATACACATACATACATCATCACCATCTTTATCTTTTTCATCATCATCATCTTTACCATCATCTTCTTCTTCATCATCATCTTTGTTATCATCACCATCGTCATCATCATCAGGACGTTGAACTGGCCTCAATAAAGAGAGAGTTCGACAACATGAAGGACCAGTCAACCTCGAGGGATGTCCAACTTAAGTTTCTGCAGCAGAAACTCAGGCAGGAACAAGATGCTCTCAAAGTTCGTTATCATTATCATTATCATCATCATTATTATTATAATTATTTTTATTATTTGTGTTGTTTCTGTTGTTGTTGTTGTTGTTATTTCTGTTTATGTTTTGATGATGATTTGAAACTTTTAATCTCTTAATCCTTCAAAATGTTTATCTAACTAAAGTTTCAATTCATTCATTCGTCGCCTTCGTTATAATTTATTGTTTCATTCATTCACTCATTCGTTCGTTCGTTCGTTCATTCGTTCATTTGTTCTTTTTTTCATTCATTTATTCATTTAGTGTTTCATTCATTCCTCCATTTACTCTTTCATCTTTGTTTCTTCACTTACCTATCTATTTTTTTAGCCAATCACACATAGCAATCAGTCCATTTAACCAATAGCATTTCTCGATCCATTTAACCAACCAACTATACTTATTTGGTTTATTCCATTCATTCCTCCTATAATAATTATATTCATTCATTCATTCATTCATTCATTTTTTCGACCAATGGCAAGCAAGCTA